AGTGTGTTTAATTGGGAAGAAGACATTCAACGGCGTCATTCACTAGTTCAGGTGTATTTCAATGTGCTGTCTTATCACTCTATCTTTTGGCAATTTATATCAATGATTTAGCTAGAAATCTCCCTGTACGACACGTTACATAAGCTGATTATATCGGGATTTAGGTTTCCGAATCTAACCTTTCAAAACTGGTTGCATATAACTCAAATTTATCTCACTTCGTCTCGACACCAACTTTATCCGGTCTTAATCTCAATTCCGAAAAGTGCCTTGAATGCATTTTTACTTTAAGCTGTTCCCCATCTCCGTATGACAATGTGCAGATTCAAGGAAAGCTACTGAGCAGGGTCAGCTATGTGGTGTACTTAGATGTCACACTGGAAAGTAACCTTCACTGGTATTTTCATACCCAAACTGTTGTTCGCAAACTGAAAATTCTCTGCTTTCAGATGAGAAGACTGCGTTACTTCTGTTCTGATTTTTCGGTAATAGACGCTTTTGTTCAACAATGTGTTCTCCTTGTACCGCTTTACTGCTCCCCTGTAATTTTCCCTGGTTTGCTGAAGGCCGATTTCAAGTTACGGATGCGTGGCCTCTCAATGATCAGCCGTGTCTCCCAAGTCTCATTATCTGTTCTGACTGAAAATATCTGTGATGGTCATATTGATGTGTGCTTGAAGTTTGCTGACAACATTCAATCCGATTGCACCCATCCCTTGCACGTGGACCTGTATGCATACAAATCCCGCGCGTCCAACTGTTCCAAATGCAAACTATTCCCGTCTAGGATATCCGCCTACAGAAACTCCTTCGTACTCTATCTTCTCCGAACACTGACTGACAAGAAGAGTGTTCGTTCTGAGCTTTCTAATGCGTTCAGTGGTTAAGGTAACAATCTTCACGCACGATGCCCCACTTTTTCCCGTTTCTTTCCCTCTATTGTGATGGCAATCTCGTTTTGACTGAATTATTGTGCATAGCACTACTAAAGATACGATGACACACAATAGTGGGATACCAGGCCCCAATTTATCTCGATGTTTCACGAGAACTGTCTACCATTCAGGATTCAGTCCGGAATAGGTTAAAAACTGATAACCCCAAAAATTGTGTAATTCATCAACTAGGATGTGAGTCGGATGTTATTGAGTTTTCACAATCTTTATTCTGTTGACGTTGATCGCGTACTGACAAACGTATCTCTCAGCGTAAAACTACGTATTCACATGCAGGTCTGCAACATTATCATCATCATCATCGTCATCACCTTCATTGAACGTCCATAAAAACCCGGTTCTATCATGCATATTAGTTGTTCATTTTGAATGTGAATGAATGCCATCAGACCAAAAAGCATGAGAAAACATGAGAAAGTTTACTTGATCCCATGATGGCAGATTGCTTTTGAGGACCGTTCGGGGACCGGTTGTGAACGAAGAAGTTGTTGTGAGATTTTCGCTATCCAAGTGCTATTATAGCTTTAGTTTTCAAATTCCAGGATAAACCCCTTTTAATATTAGAACACAAATCTGAAGGTGAACAATTGTTTTCGAATGATTCATAATCCTGTCCGTACAGATCACTTAAAATAGTGCACCTACACACACACACACACACACACACACACACACACACTAACCGCCGCTTAGGAGATAGGTATTCGCCTTTTCTCACCTAAACCGTGTGCAAGAAAGTGACTGATTCAAGCTGCCCACTTACCCAAATTGATCACCAACATCAACGCTACCACCAGCAGCACCAATCAAAATAAAGACCTCACCCAAACACAGACACATAAGACTCACCCCAACCCTCTCCTCTCCCCATTCCGAATGACCTTTCGATTCAGCGTGAAAATGTGTAAAGGCACGATTATGAATCTAAATGCGGTGAAAATGTTTGTGATAACCGACAAAGAGCACCGGACAGCTGCTTCGTCCTGTTTTTGACTCCAAACATCGACCATGTAAATTGATTGAGCCATTCACACAAAGTGATAACCATCGGCCATATAGCTCTGGGGTAAGGGTTTGATGTCCCGACCCAAGTGTTTGTGGTTTGAGTCGTGACTGAAACACAAAAGTACGCACTGCTGACGAGTCCCAAGCAGTACTCGACAGCTGTCCAGTGCTCTTCGTCGTTTATCACAAACATTTCCACCGCATCTAAATACATTCAAATAGTGGAGGATAAACGATCTCCCACGGAGTGAAACCCACACTGAATATTATCAACAGTGTCCTTGAAAAACCGAATGGGCTAATCCCAACATTGATCATCTAAACCATTATGAATTAATCGAAAACAATTGTTCGCCTTCGGACTTGTGTTTTTATCTTCATTTATACTGCATGCACATGGTTGAGTCAGTTTCACAGTCTGAACCTTTCTGAGACCCGAGAGATGGAAGCTAGAAGCAGTTTCTTCGTGCAGCCATAACCGGACGTCCAGGTAACACAGGTCACGGCAGCGCTACCTGGACCGAGCACTACCTATGGTTTTGTAGCAATTGTAATTACGGACAGTTGGATAGAATAAGTAGAAAAGTTGATCAAAGAAATTATCATCTCTCTAACAGGTGCGTTGGTAACCCGAGGGAACATCATGATATACTGAAAAATGTGGATGGTTGAATGCCATAATCTGTCGAACAATATAGTTCGAATAAACAACTCAAACTTGGAGCTTATTCGATCGATTCCAGTGGACTCCTAGGAAAAGCTGTCCTATATGATAAAGTAAGTGGTGATTAATTGATTTTGTATAATAACGCTGCGAAGAACACAGTTATACAACGCCTATCACTTCCCGTCTAACCAGTCTTGCTGTGGTATCACGCAGTGGAGAGGAATTTTAGTGCAATTTAGATTCGTCTAAGGTACGCGATATTTCCGCTAAGGCTTATTAACGAACAGAGGACTTTCTTTATCTTCAGTAATTCGTATTTTACTGTTTGGTGTATCTTGGTTTTGGCGATACCTCATTTTTATTGATTTATTTTTTTGGAGGTGGGTGGGTGGGTGAGAGGTTGCAAATGTATTGGTTACGCAACAGAAACTAGGAAATCCGTCATCTTCATCTATTGTTTACCCAACGTGTTCATTCAGATTTACGATTACCTCAATGATAGCTGCTGGTGCTACGCTTTTTGATCGCGATAGAAAATTCCCCTTCCACACTGGAAACAGTTGATTGGAAAATATCATCTTGGTGAGCAGGGCACTGGCTACATCCGATTCGAGAGGGAGAACATTGAATCCCGTTGTCGCCGATAGATCATTCTTACGTAATCATCGGAGCAAAAGTTTACGTTCATTTGTAATCACCAATTAGAGGAATGAATTTCAGAACGAACCCCAGAATTGGATTTCTGCATACTGAAAAATCTGATCTGAGTACAAAGAATCAAGCCAAGGATGATTTATTGAAAATGCGGTCAATCGCTAACCACGATGCCAGAATGTGTTTCACATTCGATGAAGCCGAATCTCCGATAATTGCCCGCAGGTGATGACCATAATCATGTGTTGTGGCGTTATGCGAATAATTGCGTTTCCTGATTGGATGGGTGAGCCGACACTTCTACACTCGATCCCAGTGCCTCACACTATCTGCCTACCAATCAACTTGCAGTTGTATGAACTCACTTTTCAGTTGATAGGACAAACATATCAGTAGTGGTTTGAGGGAGTGTAGCAACACAACCCCCAACTGGTTAATCTGCCTGATAAAGCTACCAACAATGAAAATACGAGAGGATTACCAGAAATCCCTG